CAGGACGTATTAAGATTAGAACTTTACTTAATTAACTAGTACGTAATTTTGATTCGAGCCCACCTTTAAACAGTATTGCCAGCTCATCAAATAGCCTCATTCGGTTGTTTTGGCGATGGTGTGGCCCTAATTGGGTTCAGGCCGGGTGCCCGCGGTTCTATCGGTTATGCTGATCAGGCTATATACGTAATGGGAGAGCCTCGAAGCTACAGATAGTCTGTGATTCACTTAAAATAATGTTGGGCTGACAGTTGAATTTCCAAAACCGTAATGAGTAGATCTAAAGACACCTTTAAAAACCCACAACTTTGTCTCCCATAAGGATTTCTCATGTGAAGTGAGCTGCAGTCTCGACCTAACTCTGGTTACTATAACAAATTATGCAGGCTCCGAAACCGAGTCTTGTGCATCCAGTGGCTATGTTACTAGACTACTCTTACATGTAAGATGTGGTGTCAGGTAAATCCAGTCTTCTCTCCTCATTTCCATTTGTAGGAAGACGCTAACTTGACGCAAGATTGACATAGTGAGTCGGGTCCTCTTCGCACTATGTCGTGGGCTAACTTGCTTCACAAAATGGAAAACAAATGTATACACAATACCACCACTATTACTACTGCTACTACTACCACGACCACTATAACTACAATTACCACCGTACTACTGCTATTGCCATTGTGCTTCCGCTACTGCTTCTAAAAGTAATACAACTCTTGCTGCTACTACTACCATTACCACTACCAACACTACTATCAACACCACTAATACTCCTACTACCAGCTCCACTTCCGTAATTTTTACGGCCATTACTTCTAATACTAATACTACGGTTACTGCTGCTGATAGCAATATCAAAGCAAATACCACCACTACCTCCCAAACCATAACTACTGCTATTGCTACTGCAACTATGAGTACTACTACTATGACGCATTAGAATACGAACACTGAAGCCGATACTAATGCTAATATTGATATTGTTACTATTTTTAAGACTGCTACTGATACTGGTATTGATACTGATGCTGATATTTATATTGTTACTGATATTGAAACTTATACTGATACTGGTATCGATACGGATGCTGACACTGCTTCTTTATTCTTCCTACACTACAACTATAACAGTAAATACTACTGCTAATACGACTGAAAGTAGTATACTATCCCTCTTGTGATTTGGTAGGGCAACTGGCCAATTCGTCTCATCCCTTAGAAGAGGACACTTCTGGAGGCTGCCTGAAAAGTAGGTCCGATTCTGCCATACTCGATTTGTAGAGCTTGCTTTATGCACTCACACTCGGCCTGGCAGAAGAGGCCGAAGTGGAGATCGACGGAGGAGACGAAGAAAGACGAACGGTGCTGGGCGGACTTGGGTCGCCTGAGACGCCCAGCCGCTTGTCTCTTGCGTGACTTGCACTGAAACGGTACCAACCGGGGCTTGTGGCCATTTCCTGTCCGGCCAGACGAGGACGTCGCCGGGAGTTCGGCCAAAGGCCCAGTTTCCAGCCCGACGTCTGCGGTGCATAAACACACGCCGCGGAGGCGTACATTCGCCTTCAGAGAGGCACTCTCTCGGTTGCCAGATTTGCACAGACAAAGCGAAGCGACCAAGCGGCAACTGTATCCATGCTCTGTAGCAAACAAGTGCGCCAACTGCCCGGTACGGGGGCGACCGGTTGTTGGTGGTTTCAGGGTCGGCCGAAGTGTGCACGAGATTGGCTAGAAAGGGTATCGGGTCCCGTTTGGCTCGGACTGGCTGGCTGGCAGCCTACAGGAGACGCAGTCAGGCGTGACATGGCTGCCACGACATAAACATGTTCAGCTGGGCCGAGGAAAAAGTATGACCAACAAACGGTGTCTCAGAGAGCCGGATGCTTAGCTGGCCTTCAATGTCCTCTACTAAATGGGGGTAGATGTGCTGAATCACACGATTGTGACTGAGCCAGCTGAAAACACAAGCTAGCCATGGTTGTGCATATGTATACCTCGTTGCCTAGATCGGTGTATAGCTGGACGGGTGAGAAGGTTGTGAGTGGCTCGGACAGACGGACAAAGGGACAAAATGATGGGCATCAGATGGGTAGATTGACAACACAACATGGATGAGAAGGTAACTCTATACGCACAAGATAGATAGACGATTAGGCATATCGAAACATCTCTCTGCGATTATAAGTTGGTTTTTGAGGCTACCATTAGATCGTATATATGAGAGTTATTCAGTCTATTTCGTTTGAGGTGTTCGTGATACCATCAACACTCGAAACACTGATGGGTAGGAAGGAATGAAAATTTTTTTGAACTATTTTAGTAGCAAAGAGTTTAAATACTGTCTGTCAATATGTTTATGGCATGATAAATTTAATTCGTCGCCCCACAGCTGCCCCATAATTTCTTTTCCTGAGTCTCGAGATTTGCATGCCTCTTACTACTTACGCACTACTGGAGGAGGACGACCCAAACAAGCGTTCCATCTCCGAACTAGTCCACCCATCCTTCAATTAAATCATCAATTCAGCATCATCAGAAGAGATAACAGCAAGGAGTGTCCTATCTTTTACGACTACCAGAATCGTTTGGTCGGGATTTCACATCTCATCTATTCTAAAAGAAATGAGGACTTCAAGAAAAGTGATCGAATCAGACAAACAAGAGAAAACCTCTGTAAAGTTCTGCAAACAGTACATCTGCCTTGGAAGTTTGATGCCAATGTCATGCGCTGAGTGTCCCCTTTTCTTCTTCAGGTTCTCTTTTTCTCACCGAACACTTGGATGGAGACCAAGCCATCCATCT